TTAATTCATGTATTGTTGTTTGTCGAGGATTTTCTAGTCTTTTTCAGTGAGCTCCGCACCACACTTGTTTCTCATCTTCAGAGGCAATCTATGATCTGTACAATAGATCGAGTATTGTGTTGTATTTCATACCAAGTTGTGAACTGATGTTTGATTATGATGTTCTGATTTTTGCCGTGTGAGACAATTAATCAGCCTCCTGTTGGGGTGATCCCCTGGTGTCATTCATGATATCCCAGGTATCAGCCTCTCTAAAATTAGCTCAGTTCGGTTGATGACTATGTTTTATCATCCATGTCTGGCTGGTGACAGCCTTGACCATTGTTTGAACTTCAAACCAGAAAAGTATAGTGAGCGTGTCTTCAGCCATGGCACCACGCACTACTGCATCGACAAGGAGCGGCACGATGGGGAAGTCTAAAGTGGGTGAGAGTAGCCGTGGAGTGGAGATTAAGGTACGCCTGATAGTTCTGAATATCGAAAGGATTCAGATGCCTCCTCGTACATGAAGTCGGCTTCGAGCCGTTGAGTCGTCTGGTTGAGTGTGAGGGTGTGGCTGGTAGATGCATTTATGGCGGGCGCGTGTGGATGCCGTTTGTGAGTCTGGCGGCGTGCACGGCTCACACAGGCTCAGATAAATGGATGAGCCGTGGAAACTTTGCCTGTTCCGCGTGGGTAGTGCAACGCGCCGTCACATTCAATGCACTGCAGAGCAGGACCTTACATGCACATATACGGTCGGGAAATACCAGCGGAGGCACGGATCCACAAGCAACCTAGGGGTGTGGATTTCAGGAGCAGCTGAGCTCGAGCTCAGAAAAGGATTTCCCCATTTGAATTTGCTTTTTGAGTGGAGCGGCTGATGGGCGGGCACGTTGCTCCTTTGGGCCGGCTTCTAGCCTCGAGTGGACTCGGCCCGCTTCTTCTGTTTGGTGTGAGTAGTGATGACAATAGCCTAACAGCAAAAGCAGAACTTGCTTTCTTCGTCTCCCACTTTCTCTCTCTTGTGAAACAACCTTCTTGTCTATGCTAAAAAAAGAAAGAAAAAAACATGATGTATTTTTTTAATTGTTTCTTCATTGCTGGAGTATTTAAAAACGATAAAATAATATATTTTTAATTAATCATGTCAATCCACTCTGGTCTTATTGTAACACTGGAACACTGTTCAGGTAATGACATATTTTTTTCTCACAAAAAATGTATCCATATATTTTTATGACATTTATGTGAGAAATACTTCAACAATTTTATCTGCACCAAGCACCATTGAATATTCTTTTTCAATGTACATCTACAACTTTTGTACAATTGGAACAAATTTGACATCTTTTTCTCCAGTGAGAAAATTATTATGAAGTGATGAACACTGTTTACAACACTTATAACCATTTTTTGGGACCATGGAAACAACTTTCAAATTATTTTGTTGTAATAGTTAACCATGTTATTTTGCAAATAAGAGAACATCTTTTAAAGATAAACATTAAAAAAATAAGGTCACTGGAAGATTTTTTTATCTAATGTTATTTTTTTCATTTTTACAGCGGGACATATTTACCCAACTACGAGAACATTTTCATTTTTAGTTTTTCACCAGCACGCCAAAGAATTTTAGTGTTATAACATGTTTCCTTCTTTACCAAATATAATAGGAAATAAGTAAATACTTCCTTTTTATATCATTTGAATTAAATAGATGTAACTAAACAAAGAAGTATCTAAATATTGCATTCGTCTTGGAATATTTCCTACTAAATATAAGGTATGTATGGTATAGAATTATCAGTCATAGATGATTGCTTGACATATTGGGGAAGCAAATAACGTACTCAACTTTCTAGCTATAAGAACCACCAAATAGAAACATCTCAAACAACACCTCTAGCAAAGAAACCACTTGCTAGCTTGCTCAAAGATTAAGTATGGCACTAACAAAGGTCGCCCTCTCCTTTGCCCTAAACCTTGTTCTCATTGCCATTGTGCATGGTCACCCACCAGTTGTCCCTTCACCGCCTTTGGTGCCTACCCCAGTTGTTGCACCAACTCCACCGAATGGTGCTTCCTGCCCAATCAACCCACTGAAGATAACTGTGTGCAGCAATGTGTTGCTGCTACTCAAACTCCGGATCAACGTGCCGGAGACTGAGCAATGTTGCCCACTGCTTAGTGGGTTGGCTGATCTTGATGCCGCCATCTGTGTCTGCACTGTCATCAAGGCCAACCTCCTTGGACTCGTCACCGTTGACATTCCCGTCGACCTTACCCTCCTACTAAACCATTGTAACAAGACATGTCCCTCTAGTTTCACCTGCTCTCGATGAGCCAGGACCAAGTATACCTCTGCAAAACATACTCATAATTATCATGTATGTGAGGCATACCTATCTATGTCATCTCATTAATAAATTTTGTGTTTACATTATATTTGTTTAGTTTTCAAGTTATGTTGGTGTGTGTGTGACATAAGTGTATCATGTTATCTAATCCAAATTATTGCGACGGATTTTGTGTCATTGAAGATATTCCCCTACAACATATAAGATCATTATAAATAATTCATAAATTACATCGTTGTCAATTGTTTAAACCATCCATCTAGATACGACATATTAATGATTTTTTCACAACTATGGAAACATCTATGATATCTTGCTCTTACTATGAACCATCTGCTGACAGTCATTTATTATATGGTCCAAGAGATTTCTTTGTTCTCAAATATATGTGTTGATTCTGTTCATGTGGCCTCCAAACCCTGCCATTAATTTTCCTAGATATGCACACACTTGCTTAGCTATTGGCTACTCCTAGGATGACTAGCCATGCTCCTATCAAACAATGTGGAGTTTCCAACCTTGCCCAAGCCAATCGACGGTGTATATTGGGCTTGAGTTTATACCATGAGTACCACTATACTCTGAAACTCCGCATGACTCCACCGACATTTGTAGTCCCTTCTTTTCTTGATCATAGTCAACAATCAAGCCAAATTAAGCTCCCTTTTATTCTAATTTGTTTTCCCAACTTTCGGAACCCGCTTAACGCCATCACACGCTGATCATTGATCTTCGTGAAATTCGATAACTCACTGATACGTCTCCGTCGTATCTACTTTCTCTAACGGTTTTACGTTTGTTTTGGACTCTAATTTACATGATTTGAACGAAACTAACTCGGGCTGACGCTGTTTTTAGCAGAACTACCATGGTGTAGTTTTTGTGTAGAAATAAAAGTTCTCGGAATGGAACGAAACTTTTTGGAGATTTTTTATGGAATAAAAGAAAAATACTGGAGCCAAGAACCACTGGAGGGCCCCCCCTGGGTGAGCACAACCCACCAGGGCGCCCCCCTCCTGGTGCACCCAGGTAGGTTGTGTCCACCTGGTGGCCCCGCTGACCCTATCTCCGACATTATAAAATCCTATTTTCGGAGAAAAAATCAGGAAGAAAGAATTATCACGTTTCACAAGACAGAGCCGCCGCCGCCTCTTGTTCTTCATCGGGAGGCCAGATCTGGAGTCCGTTTGGGGCTCCCGAAAGGGGAATCTTCGATCTTCGTCATCGCCAACCCTTCTCCATGATGCTCCCCACCGGGAGTGAGTAATTTCTATGTAGGCTCACTGGTCGATGAGAGAGTTGGATGAGATTCATCATATAATAGAGTTAGTTTTGTTAGGGCCTAATCCCTAGTATCCATTATGTTCTGAGATTGATGTTGCTATGACTTTGCCATGCTTAATGCTTGTCATTTTGGGCCCGGGTGCCATGAATTCAGATATGAACCGTTTATGTTTTCACCATTATATCTATGTTCTAAATCTGATCTTGCAAGTTATAGTCACCTGGTACGTGTTATGATCCGCAATCCCCGGAGTGATAATAGTCGGGATACTTTTCGGTGATGACCATAGTTTGAGGAGTTCATGTATTCACTAAGTGCTAATGCTTTGTTCCGGTTCTCTACTAAAAGGAGGTCTTAATATCCCTTAGTTTCCTTATGGACCCCGTTGCCACGGGAGGGTAGAACAAAAGATGCAATGCAAGTTCTTTCCATAAGCACGTATGACTATTTACAGAATACATGCCTACATTATATTTATAAACTGGAGCTGGTGTCGTATGGCCCTAGGTTATGACTGTTATACGATGAATATCATCCAATGAATTCACCGATCCAATGCCCACGAGTTTTTACATATTGTTCTTGCTAAGTTACTATTGTTATTGCTACTGTTATGCTTGCTACAAAATCATTGCTATCACTGTTACCGTTACCGCTACTGCTACTGCTGCTATCAAAATTATCATATTACTATGCTACTAGTCACTTTGCTGCAGATAATTAATCTTCAGGTGTGGTTGAATTAACAACTCAGCTGCTAATATTTGTAAATATTCTTTGGCTCCCCTTGTGTCGAATCTATAAATTTGGGTTGAATACTCTATCCTTGAAAATTGTTGCAATCTCCTATACTTGTGGGTTATCACTCAGATATCAGGTTTTGTTCCATGGTGGGCCAAAGACTGGCCACGCCCTTTTATTCACGTGTCGTGTCAGGCGCATGTCGGGCAAAAAAAAAACCATGCCCGCAGGGCCGGCCCGCGCAGCACGACGCATATGGCCATGTTTGATGGTTAGCGTGAAATAGTAGGAAGACGGGAAGGGAGGTCCTATTCCTCGACCTAAACGACGAATAGCCACGGAACGTGCATCCCTGTCCGTGCATGATTTGGGCTGGCACAAGTGCGGGAAGGGCCGCCCCAGCATTTTTTGTTTCTTTTTGTTTGAGATTCCAAAATAGTTTCTGAAAAATTTAAAATTTTCTAAATTCCAAAAATGTTTAGCCATTTAAAAAATGGCCAGAATTACAAAAATAGTTCACGATTTCAGAAAATCTTCATGATTTTAAGAAACATGTTTGGGAAATAAAAAATGTTCATGATTTTGGAAAAATGTTCAAGAAATAAAATAGTGTCTACAGATTCAAAAAATGTTCATGATTTTCAAAGAATGTTCGTGTACTCAAGAAAATATTCATGGTTTATAAAACATGTTCATGAATTCAAAAAATGTTCACGATTTTAAAAACATGTGCAAGTACAAAAAATGTTCACGATTTTGAAAACATGTTTGCAGACTAAAGAATTTTTTTTATTTTGACAAAAATGTATGCATATTTAATTTGTTGTGATTTTCGAAAAATCTTCAGAAAATCATTTTTTTCATGAATTCAAAGATTTCTTTCATGATTTTCAAAAAATGTTGACATATTCAATTTTTTCTTAAATTCAAAATATGTTCAAGATTGAAAAAATGTGCAAGATTTTGTTTATGTGAATTTGAAAAATCATGAAAATAAAAAATAAAGAGGAAGCAAAATAAAAAATAGATGGAATAAAAATAAAAGAACAGGAAAACGTTGATAAAGATAAAAGAAAAAAAATAAAAAATAAAAGAAAATAGCGGTTCAGGGAAGGTTCTACTTACTTGTCGTAGAGGTATTCAACTTGCGAGTGAGCTGGGCTTATCTAAGGTTTTATTGGAGACGGACAATCAAAATGTGGTGAGAGTAGCCAGGGATCCGCCTCCTCCTCCTCCAAGAAAGAAAGTTAGGGTTCGTGCCTCTCGCCGGCGCCGGCGCAGGTCCGCCTCGTCTCCGGTGGCTCTAGGGCCATGGAGGCGCGGTGGATCCTGGTAAGGGCCGGCGGGAGGGCTCCGTTTTAGTCGTTTTTTCGATCTTGTTAGGGTTTGTGTCCTATTCAGGAAGGTGAGACGGTGGCGGCTGCCTGAAGATGGAATAAAGGTCTCCCCGCCTAGCCCCTATTTCGGCGGTGCGTCTAGTATCGTTGATGGGCGTGTGGAGGTGTGTCTCCGGTAGATCTATCTTTGGTGGATTTGCTCGGATCTCGTCGTTGTTCGTCTACGTTCGTGTGTTTTCGGTTTGGATCCTTCCGATCTACGTTATTTTTCATCGGCGGCGGTTGCTGTTCTGCGGTGCTGGTCCTATGGGGTCTTAACACGACGACTTCCCGACTGTCTACTACAACAAGTTGTTCCCGGCTCCGGCGATGAAGGAGCGATGACGGCGGCGCGCCTTCGGTTCACTTCGGTGCTTGTAGTCGTCGCTAGGTGGTCTACGAATCTGGATGTAATTTTTATTTCTGATATTCGTTATACTGTCATGATTGAAGATGAATAGATTAAAAAAAATTCTGAAAAAAAATGTGGTGAGAGTACTCACTCCGGATCAGGTTGATCGGTCTACATGGGGACTGCTAGTTGAGGAAATCAAAGAATTGCTTCAAGGCGTGGGAGAGTTCAGAGTACTCTGGGCAAGAAGAGATGCTAATAAAGCTGCACAGTATTTAGCTAGGGAAGGCTGCCTTCGTAGATTATGTAAAACATGGCTTAATGTTGTTCCTGCTTATATTCGTGATGTTGTAATGGCCGATGGTGCCATAGACTAAGTTTAATTAATGGCAAATATTTTCCCCTCAAAATAAATAAATAATATAAGACGTTATTACACCTCCCAAAAATGGTGGGAAAACCCAAAATGAGGCGTCCCAAACAGCATCGATAGTGGCACACATGCAGTGTATCACTTATCAGCATTAAAAAAGATGGAATTGACCTTGCAAGGGTATTTCTTAATTAGTGATTTCACTCTTCTAATAGCGGCATTTGAATTTGCTTTTTGAGTGGAGCGGCTGATGGGCGGGCATGTTGCTCCGTTGGGCCGGCCTCTGGCCTCGAGTGGACTCTGTCCGCTTCTTTTGTTTGCTGTGAGTAGCGATGACAATGGCCTAACAGGAAAAGCAGGACTTGTTTTCTTTTTCTCTTACTTTCTCTCTCTTGTGAAACAACCTTCTTGTCTATGCTAAAAAAAAGTGTACCTCCAAAGTGTGGTGAGAGTACTCACTTCGGATCAGGTTGATCGATCTAGATGGGGACTGCTAGTTCAGGAAATCAAAAAATTGCTTCAAGGTGTGGGAGAGTTCAGAGTACTCTGGGCAAGAAGAGATACTAATAAAGCTGCACACTATTTAGCCAGGGAAGGCTGCCTTCGTAGATTATGTAAAACATAGCTCCTGCTTGTATTCGTGATGTTGTAATGGCCGATGGTGTCATAGACTAAGTTTTATTAATGTGTTGGTTTTGTTCATGTGGCCTCCAAACCCTGCCATTGTCTACTCCCATGATGAGTGGCCATGCTCCTATCAAACAATGTGGACTTTCCAACCTTGCCCAAGCCAACCTTTCCCGAGCCGATCGACGGCGTATATCGGGCTTGAGTTTATACTATGAGTAGCACTGCTAC